ATATATATATATATATATATATTTATATATATATATATATATATATATATATGCATATATATGTATATATATATGTATATATACATTTATATTTAAACATATTGAATATAAACTTATATTATTTCAACTTTTAAACAAATGTACATTTATATATAAAAAAAATTATAGAAAACATTAAAAATTGAAACTTAAGCCTAGGTTTACAATGCCAAATGCTCTCACCTCAGAAGCAGTGAACACACTTGCGACCAGCTTTCCTCACTGTTGACAATGTACACCTTTCTACTGGCTGACTTGACTGACCTCATGAGTCTTGCCGCCTTGACAGCCTGGGCAATGGAGCGACTGTGATATACCAGTCCTCCTGTCACCCCTACACCCAGGAAGAGACTCATGGTTAATCCTGGGTGTTCACGCAACCACATTACACTCATCGTGATGAGAAATTGCCCTCACAATCTGCCATATGAAAAGGAAAAAAATTGAGTATGGATTGTAGCATTGGGATTAGGACAATAATTATCAACTGTATCATTCTTTGATTTCCCTTGTCTGCCATAGCTCTTGAAGCGTTACTTTGTTGTTCAATATATCATTCCAACACTGAGAGCACAAGAGAAATAGCTTTAGAACTTGTACCATCGAACATCTGCCACAATTAGAAACGCACTGATCTTCAGGAGTAAAGAAGCATCATAAGCATAAGCCAAATATTTATGTAAAATGATAAAAACACACGACTTAGTATATCCAGTTATAACAATAATAAAATGCTCACACGTGGAGTGACAAAATCAGCTGTTCCAATGTTTACATCAGCCACTGTTGCCAACTTCACGATAGAGGGCTTTTTTTTTTTTAGGAAGGATGTGGAAACACTGTTTCGGATTCTTGGGGTGGGGGTGGGGGGGGGTGATTTCTCGTTAATATCTAAACAAGAAATATAAAAAAGACGTTTTCAATGGTGACTAATCGGCTCTGCTATCATGCATATACAAATAATCAATAGAAAGCAAATTCTTGTCTATCCACTTACGTCAGAAATTGTTTCTTTTTAAGAAAACGTCTTGATTTGCCTAATATTCATATCTTTAGCGAAATATAGAAATGCGCTGAGGAACTAAATGTGCTTGTATTTCCTCTCCTATGGTACCCATTATCCCCATTGTTGTTATATTTTTTATTTGACTATATACCTTCTATATGTGTATTTGTAACACAATAGGCGTAAGAAAAGGAAGGGGCGGGACCCAACTTCTCCCCCCTCCCACACTCCTCAACGCTCGAGTACATACTGTGTAAACAAATAAACAGTGCAATTGCTTAGTTACCCAGCTGTTGAGCGCACTGTCCCCAGGACCCCCGGCTTACTGTGCCCCACCTCCACCCCCCACTTCGAAATATCTTCCTATGCCTTTGACACACACACACATAAACGAACCCACGCAAGCACGCACACACACACACACGAACACAAAAAAAGCACACGCACATACACTCACGTGCGCACGTAGGCACGCAGGCACGCACACACACGCACACACNGTATATATATGTTATATATATATATATATATGTATATATATATATATATATATATTATATATATATATGTGTTATATAATATTGTATATATATATAATATAATATATATATATATACATATATGTATATATATATTATACATATAATTTATATGTATATATATATGTAATATATGTATATATATATTATATATATATAATATATATATATATATATATATATATATATATATATTAATACATATTATGTAATATATATATATATATAGTATATATAATATATATATATATATATATATATATATATATATATATATATATATATATATATATTATATATAGTTATATATATATTCAGTACATGGAAAAGTTTGAATGTAAATTTGATTCATTATTTCATATTATATAATTTTTAGTTCTCTTCATTTGAAACAAATTAGAATTTATATGAAAATAGACCAGTATGTCATGATGGCTACAGTTAGTGTAACAGAGTGTGTATGTTGTTAGGCGTGTGAATTCATTGACGGGTGTGGTAGCACAATTGTAGCATGGCACCCTGCATCACATTTAGATAGCCCGTACCATGTTATATGGCAGCTCCTCAGCTCCCCTCCTTTCCCAATTATCCCATATCTGTCACCCTTTTACCGCTCCTCCTTCCCCGATGTTGACGTTGTGGGTGTTATATTAAATCATTATCAACCTTGCATACACATTGGAGGCGTATAGGTGTTTGAGGCTACTTAGCAACCCACAACGTAGGTAGTGTGTTTAGACATTGAAGATCACTCTTTCCTTTGTGGGCATGATGTGATGTGTATCCCTACTTTATGTGAAAGCTGAAAGAAAAGGAAAAATAACTTTAATAAAAAAGATTGTGCTTGATGATTTTCAGTATATATGTCTATATTTATCCTAAAGGACTAGTGTTGTTTGATTTCCATTAACCTCTAGATTTTTCTTTTTTCTTTTGTATTTCCTGTCAAACAGGTCAGAAAAGAAACAGAAGGAGCAACTTTCATAACATTGTTTTGGTTATCAGGAAAATTATTCTGAATGCAATGCCCCTCACAGCATGATAGGTAATTCCTCCAAGCATTTCTGGTAAGCAAGCACCATGCAGCAGCACCCTTTGCAAAAGTACTGTGAATAGCCATTGAAACACAGTATTTGTAAATGGCATGCTTGCCCTTCCTAAGATTTTGGATATTCAACCACTCTTCACAAATTACTATTGTATAGTTCATGCTTAATGAAAGTAAAAGATTGGGATTATTGTTGCACATTGCATTCTATCATCCAAATAAGATTTTGAAGTTTACCTTTTATATAATTAAATAATTTTGATTTTTATTTTATTTATTGCTTTTATTTTATTAGCATTGTATGCCTATTTCTTGCCTACATTGTCAGTGAAAATCATTCTTTCAGATTTTATATAGGATCTAACAAATAGGAAATACAAATTAGTATTTTGCAGTAAATTGATACTGGTAACCAACTATATTTGAATGTGATGTAAAACATTTTTTCCACATTTACAGCTGGTGCTACTTTTTATAAATGGACATATTAGGTATTTTACTGATTTGATAATCATTCATTAGGCTAGACACTTCAGCTTCAGTCCCCTTCTTTTAAACCTCTTTTGCTCTCTCTCTCCCTCTCCCTCTCCCTCTTCCTCCCTCCCTATACCTCCCTCCCTCTCCCTCCCTCCTTCTCTCTCCCTCTCCTTCCCATCCTCTCTCCTTCCCTCCCTTTCCCTCTCTCCCTCTCTCCATTCCCAGCAGGTGTGCACAGACGATCCTCATAACAAAGGATTTTACCGAAGGATTTATCACCCGATTAAAAAAAAAAAAAAAAAAAAAAAAAANTTAAATGTACAATTCAATATTACTCAATACTGTAGAAAATATTCACCTTTGATATAGAAATGATCATCTGATATATTACATGTTACTTATATCAGAGGCTTTTATATC